TCCCCCGGGCGTCCCCAAGCCAGCCGCTGCTGAAACTGACCAGTGGTTGACTACAGGAAGCCCGAGGCAGAGTCGCTCTGCCCCGGGCTTCCTGGAATCAGCTGCTGATCAGTTTCAGCAGCAGCTGACTTGGGGACGCCTAGGGTTCTTAAGTTGAATCTGTATGTAAGTCAGAACTGGTGTCCAGATTCAGCCGCTGTTGAAACTGATCAGTTTCAGCAGCGGCTGAATCTGGACGCCAGTTCCGACTTACATACAGATTCAACTTAAGAACAAACCTACAGTCCCTATCTTGTACGTAACCCGGGGACTGCCTGTATTATACATGTGTCCCAGTCATTGCCAAATGCTATACAAACACACAACAAGATGTAGTTCCTGCACTTAAGAGTTCACAATGCACTCTGAAAACCTGTGCAAATAATTGGAGGGAACCACCAGGGAGGAAGATTAAGGATGATAACAATTGGATCACATGATGATTACATAGGGGACCTATGGTCAACCTCAGTGGTTTTGTATTTTTAAAAACACAAACTAGATATCCCTAAATATTGCCCAGTCTGCTTGTCATTAGCAAGCTGATTTAGTTAAATTGTCAGTATTCCTCTTTCATATATTTGAACTTCATGAGTGGTCATCTGTATCACTTGATATTATTTCCATCATCTAATATTATGACCTAACTGCTGCCATTCAAAACAAATTTCACTTTAGCGCAAAATGGGAATTTGGGGCTAGATTCAGAAAGGGAATGGGTAGATTGCATATGTGTTTGTGCAGATGTTAGCATCACAAAGGTCCATCCAAGTATGCATCATCATGCACTGCCACCTACTGAATATACACATAAACATGTTTTACTGGGATGGGAAGAATATAAGAACAGCCATACTGAGTCAGACCAAAGGTCCATCTAGCCCAGTACCCTGTCTTCTGGCAGTGGCCAATGCCAGATGCCCCAGAGGGAGTGAACAGAACAGGTAATCATCAAGTGATCCCTCTCCTATCACGCATTTGCAGCCTCTGACAAACAGAGGCTAGGGATACCATTTCTACCCATCCTGGCTATTATTATATTGTGCAGTTTTCCATTCCTAGCACAAAATATCCAAAGCGTGTTGCTTACTATATTTTAACTTCATACAGTAAGGCTGCGTCTAGACTGGCAAGTTTTTCTGCAAAAGCAGCTGCTTTTGCAGAAAAACTTGCCAGTCTAGACGCAGCCTTACTGTATGAAGTTAAAATATAGTAAGCAACACGCTTTGGATATTTTGTGCTAGGAATGGAAAACTGCACAATATAATAATAGCCAGGATGGGTAGAAATGGTATCCCTAGCCTCTGTTTGTCAGAGGCTGCAAATGCGTGATAGGAGAGGGATCACTTGATGATTACCTGTTCTGTTCACTCCCTCTGGGGCATCTGGCATTGGCCACTGCCAGAAGACAGGGTACTGGGCTAGATGGACCTTTGGTCTGACTCAGTATGGCTGTTCTTATGTTCTAAGACCATATTACTAAATTTACTTCTGTCAGGTATGATAACACGTGGAATTTAGTTAGGCTTTTTCCCTATAAAGATGCATTATTATTTTATTGATGTCCACAATGTACGAGGCATTTTCCAAACATAAATGATACAGTCTTCTACTTGAAAAACTTACCCTCCAAAGACAGACATATGGTGGGGGAAGGAATACAACATACAAATGAGTAAAGAAGCCAAATGAACATAGGCCTTTGAATGGGTTCCAATTATTTGTAACTCAATGGCTGTCTATTGGTGATAGAGCATTTTCTAAAGAACTTCATTAGTTTCATCCCATTAAATTTTGTAAGTTTATTCCATAAGAAAGTGTGGAGGGCAATCTTGAGATTACATTTTAAATTAACATGTATAGCATGAGCATAGATTTGCAGGATTATTAAAGGCAGAAAGCCATAGCGTACACATAGTAATTTCATTGTTCCCTATATATATTTAAATGTTACTTTTAATTTGGATTTTTTTTAATATATCTAGAGTTTAAAAACAAGAAGAAGAAGGTTGCTCTGGGTTCATGTCTGGCTCATATACTAGAATCAGGCCCCTGCTGCTTGATTTGTACAGTCTTGTTTTCTGTCCTTGTAGCTGAAATCTCCCATTGCTATTATTGTGTTCCAAGCACAATTATTTCTCTATTCCTATTGTTGCCTCCTTCTTCTCATATTGTGACTGTCAGGTCAGGGAATCTACTATGCATGTTCTTCATTTTTATGATCTTGAATGTCATGTCCTAACAATTCAGCCTTGTTCATCATTCCTCCAAGGGTTTGATTTTTGTTTTACTGTCAAGTTTTTCTGACAGTTAATTTCACAACAGGCAAATCAACACCAAGCCAAAACTAATCTGTAGCAATTGCTTTGTTTGTTGTTCTAAGGCTTTGCTCTTGCAAGTTGTCGCAAGTGTAATCCAAAAGTAAATTCTAAAAATGAACTCACTTTCCAACATTAATTTGAGGTTATATAAATAGAATTATAATTCTACATAACTCTTTGTTGGACCTTGGTTATCATTTATCAAGCTAACATTGGGAGCAAGTATTAGAAATGTATTTGTTGTATGGAATAGATGCAGTGAACAATTACCTATGTCTACACTGGTGTTGTCTTGCTCAAGAACAGCTGTTCTTGCACAAAAACTACACTGCATGTGCGTTCTTGCGCAAGTAAATTTACAGTCTAGCGTCAGAAAATAGGGCTTCTTCCGGAAGAGTTATTCCTCTCCCCACAAGGAATAAGCTTCCTTGCGCAAGAGCTCTTCCCTTGCGCAAGAGGGCAATGTAGTTCTTGCACAAGAAGCTGCCAGTGTAGACGTAGCCTTATAGGTAAGGCTTATTGCGTCAGCATGTGACTTTTGAAAGTCTGTTCTGTAAGTATTATTTACTTTTCTTCATTAGATGATGGAGTATCTGCTTCAAGTTATGAATATGAAAGAAAGCACTCCAAGTTGAAGCGACAATCTTCCAACCTCGAAGAAATAGAATAGTATCCTTAAGAGACTTATGTTTCACAAACACTTAATTGTAACAGATAATCAACAAGGTTTCTTTTGTGTAAACAAGATTACTTTTGTGTAAAATACTTAAACACTTGTATTCTTGTATGTTACTGCATTGACTAAACTCTTCTCTTTTTTTCCCCTCCAAGCTGCATTTTCTCCTTTTCACTGCTTTGATGTAAATAATTGTCCAGGAAGGATCTTCCAGTTATCTGACTTCCCTCTCTAACCAGTTCATCCGTAGGTTAAAACTACATGACATTTCAACAGTCACAATAAATAATAACGAAGGCCAATTTTCTGCTTTTATCTGAGTTACAGAACTCCCACTGGCTGTGCTACAGACAGTAACAAATAAGCAATGGGGAAATTCATTACTTATAAGACAAGATCCACAGCTGTATAAATTAACTGAATCCCATGGAGCTATACTGATTTATACCAGTCAGGATCTGTCCATCTGTTTCATTGACCCTAAGGCTCCGTCTACACTGTCAGGTTTTTGCGGAAGAGAAAATGCAAATGAAGTGCTCATTAGCATTTCTCGCACTCTCATTTGCATAGTCTTTTTCGATCCTTTTTGCAGAAGAGGTTTTTGCGGAAAAAAACACAGTGTAGACGGGGCCATTTTGTACAAAAAACCTCTTTTGCACAACAACCCTTATTCCTTATTTTGAGGAATAAGGTTCTTGCACAAAAGGGTATTTTGTGCAAAATGGCCCCGTCTACACTGCAGTTTTTTTCCCCACAAAAACCTCTTCCGCAAAAAGGAACGAAAGAGACTATGCAAATGAGAGTGCGAGAAATGCTAATGAGCGCTTCATTTGCATTTCCTCTTCCTCAAAAAACCTGACCGCGTAGACGGAGCCTAAGAGTGTGTTTTCAATGAACTGAGAGCCAGATAGTCTTACATAGATGTGAAAGACCCAAACATAGTGAGGTATTTCTGCCACCCAGACAGTCTAAGCACTTATCCACCCAGACAGTCTAAGACCCTATATTCAGATAGTCTTACATAGATGTGAAAGACCCAAACATAGGTATTTCTGCCACCCAGACAGTCTAAGTACTTATCCACCCAGTCTAAGCACTTATCCACCTAGACAGTCTAAGACCCTATATTTTCCTGTGTGACAAACAAATGACATTTCCAGTGGGTCTACAGAGTGGAATGTGGAGGGGAAGCAGGGTATCACACACAAATGAGGATGGGGTAAGGTTCTCCATTCAAAGTGCAGTTCCATGTTGTTTTAATCAGGGCTGGATTAAGACATGCCGAGGCCCTAAACCAGGGGTGGGGACACTAAGCCCCAGGGGCTGGATGCGGCCCTCCAACTTGCCTGGATCTGGCCCCCCAAGGCTTGGGGCCCCACCCAAGCATTAGGGATCCTGCACTAATGCTCTAGCTCTGCCACCCACCATTCTCCTGTGGGGCTGGAACACACAAAATCATAGACATATAGGATCATAGAACACTAGAACTGGAAGAGTCTTGAAAAGATCATCAAGTCCAGCCCCCTGCCCCCATGGCAGGACCAAGCATGGTCTATATCATCCCTGACAGATGTCTGTCGAATCTGCTCTTAAATAGCTCCATAGATGGAGATTCCACAACCTCCCTAGGCAATTTATTCCAGTGTTTCACCATCCTGACAGGAAGTTTTTCCTAATGTCCAACCTAAACCTCCCTTGCTGCAGTTTAAGCCCATTGCTTCTTGCCCTATCATCTGAGGCCAAGGAGAACAATTCCTCCCCTCCCCCCACCCGCCTCCCTGTGACACCCTTTTAGATACCTGAAAACTGCTATCATGTCCCCTTTCAATCTTCTTTTTTCCAAACTAAACAAGCCCAATTCTTTCAGTCTTCTTTCATAGCTCATGTTCTCTAGATCTTTAATCATTCTTGTTGCTCTTCTCTGGACCTTCTCCAATTTCTCCACATCTGTCTTGACATGTGATGTCCAGAACTGGACACAATACTCCAACTGAGGCCTAATCAGCACAGAGTAAAGCGGAAGAATGACTTCTCGTGTCTTGCTCACAACTCTCCTGTTAATGCATCCCAGAATCGTGTTTGGGTTTTTTTGCAAGAGTCACACATTGATTCATATTTAGCTTGTGGTCCACTATGACCTCTAAATCCCTTTCTGCAGTACTCCCTCCTAGACTATCACTTCCCATTTTGTATGTGTGAAACGGATTGTTCTTTCAAGTGGAGTACTTTGCATTTGTCCTTATTAAACTTCATCCTATTTACTTCAGACCATTTCTCCAATTTGTCCAGATCTTTTTGAATTATGACCCTATCCTCCAAAGCAGTTGTAACTTCTCCCAGCTTGGTATCATCTGAAAACTTAGTAAGAGTACTCTCTATGCCATCATCTAAATTGTTGATGAAGATATTGAACAGAACCAGTCCCAAAACAGACCTCTGTGGAAACTCAATTGTTATACCCTTCCAGCATGACTGTGAACTGTTAATAACTACTCTCTGAGAATGGGTATCCAGCCAGTTATGCACCCACCTTATAGTAGCCCCATCTACAAGGCGGGGCCCCCCTAGACTCTGGCGTGTGAGGGGAATGTGAGGCATCTTTTTCTTCTCAGTTGGAGAGCATGTTAGTGAGGGTTTGGGGGTTTTCTGTGGGTCAGAAGCCCCCCGATCCAAAATATGTTCCCCGTCCCAGCCTAAACTATGTCAAGTTGGGTCAGAAGCCCCCCGATCCAAAATATGTTCCCCGTCCCTGCCTAAACTATGTCAAGTGGTCCCATATCATTACCAAAAATGTGTACTAATTAACAGAAAGGACAATGAAAATAGAAATAATAAAGTTTTTTATATACACTGGTACATAAGCAAGGATGCAATTAAAAACTAGTCCTTTTTAAAATTGTACTTAGAAGCCCATCATAACTGGAGGTCAGAATCTATAGCTTGCTTAATTTGTACATAAATCTGGCACAGGCCCTAATTCACCATGAACCAGAAACATAGTGGAGTAAGGCAGTGACCAGCCCCTAAAAATTCCTGAACATCTCAGCCTGAACAGTCCTTCCCTTAGCTGCACTGTCCTTCAGGTTGTATATTGGCCAAGCAAAGCAATCTGCTTGGCAGAAAGAGGCCCTTGCACTCAATTGGAGGATTGCACACAGAGTCCCACCCAACCAAAGGAAACAAGGTCCCACAGTAGGACAGCCAGACCACGAAGAGTACAAATAATTTCTCTATGCAAATGACTGAACAATGTGGGATGACCTATGAAAATGCATAATCAGGCTAGACAATATGACTCGTTACACTTTATAATTATACACTAAAATATCCAGATAACAAAAATAATTCCTAGGAGACTTTTGTTGCAAAGCGAAGCAAACCCTGATTTGAGCTCACATTACTACATTTCACATTGAACAATCCACCATGTCTGTGGAATAATCACTTGAGTGAGACAGACATGACTCCATCCAAAGAGTTAGGTACAAATGGCTTTGATCAGAAACAGAGGTGCTTTCAATAAGATTGTATGGACACTTGCGGGGGAACTGGTACTAGCACATAGAGTGCACATAGTCATGATACTAAACAAAATGAACTGGCTTGTGCTTTGGTGTTAGCTTTTAGAAGTTTTTGATTCCCCTTCCCCCCTCAAATTAGCTCCCAAATAAACACACACCCTTTGTCATCCCTGGCACCCATGAAGAGGTAGTGTCAATGAAGTGAAAACTGTCTTCTTCTGCTAATGGAATGTTGAAGTCATCATGCCTCTGTTGATAAATTGCATAGCCAATTGCTCAGTCATACTTTGGTTTATCACAAACGTGACAAAGCTCCTTTTCCATCTTGGTGGGTTCAGTGCTTCCAGGAGGCCTGCTTGCCTCAGAAGCTCACAGTGGCCCTCAATTTAGACACTTTCCCTAGAGGCACAAACTTGCCATTTATTTAGCTACCTTCATCATTGGCCAGCATGGGAAAAAGAGAGGACACCACTCTGCTGTCCCTCTGGATGAGGGACCAGTCAGACTCTTCCCCAAATTAGCCTTTCCCCTGTGGTATGACACCCTGTCCAGATCAACTCTCCTATAGTGAATCGGGAGTTGGGAAATGGGGGGAACGTGGGCCTGCCTTCTACTCTGGGTTCCAACCCAGAGACCCTGTGGTAGCAGCTGTTTATAATATCCCCTGTATCAGCTGCATGACAGCTACTTCCCCACAGCCTCTCCCAGCACCTTCCTTAGCACAGGCTGGTTCCTGATTGAGTTCATATCTCCAAACCTTCCATAGCTCTTTCTTACCCCCTCCCTCCTCAGCTCCTTATGCACAGTGAGCTAACAGAAGGGGAGTATTTTTAACCAGTACCAGCTGGTTCTTACTTGACTCCAGGTGTCCTGATCAGACGGGGGAAATTGGTTTGAGAAAGTTCCCGGTGAGCACTGGCTCCAACCTGTCCCCTCCGCTCCCCCTGCTGCTGCCTCTGCACTAGGGGAAAAGGGGACAAGCAGCTCCATGGAAGCCAGTACACACAGTGCCCCTCATGCTACTACCTCCGACACATAGGCACAGTGTGTGGGGGTGGGGTGTAACCGTGAAGTTTAACCAGTGAGCCCAGGCTCATCAGTTCACCATTTACATGTTTACACTTTCACATCCCTAGTTGTAACAGAGATGACCTTGCAGTTCTGGAAGCCCTACAGTTTTGATGGTTTGTTGCAGAGAGGCTTCTTTGTGCTGGTAGACTGGGTTATGTGTACAGGGTGGGGCCTCAATTACACCAGCTGAGGATCTGGCCCAAAGCCTGAAGAGAAAATAATATAAATTTCCCGTTTTATTGATACCTCCAAAAATAGAAATGCCCCTTCCCCGCAAGCTCATGAGCTGGTTTCTTTGTGGATACACGAGCAGAAAACTACCATGTCCCTGCCCTTGCTGCTCACTACTTGTGGGTATGTTATTGCCTCCTTGGATATCAATCTGCTGAAAACACCTTGTTCCTGGAAACAGGCAAAGATATTTTAAGTCTTCACTCCACTCCATCAAGATGTTTGGCGCTTTTGCATTTGCTTTTGCCACCCCCTACTTGATGTGATTCCCGGCGTCCTCTTTCAAAGCAGCTTGCCTAAGTGCAGATTATTGTGCATGTGCATGCAAGCCTGCTGCCTTCTACTTCGACAGCCCTCCAACTGCTATCCCACACCACTTTGAGGGCATCCATGACTGACCTGTCCATTTACCTGCATTAGGGTCAAGTTGTCTGGATGTCTCCCTTCATGGGACCATTTGCTCCTGGATTTGAATATAGCAACCTTGCAGCACTATTACTCCAGCGGCTTTAGCGTGTGTCTCAAGCAGCCTCTTGTCACCATGGTAAAACCCAGGGTCGCTTTGCAATCTGGAGAAGGCAACTCCTGTGACCAATCACTGCAATAATAGAAACTTTTTGTGATGATTGCAAAGCAGATGGCTGAGAAGAGTCTCAGTGAGGATGTCTAAAGATAAAACAGCTAAGAAAAACATACATAAACCCAGGGAAGACTGAAAAAGGCCTTTGGTGCACATGTAGCTTGCTAATTTTATGAGGGACTATAC